TATTATCACACTTATCCTGAAAATCATTAATTCTTCAAAATCAGAACAAGTGAAATTAAATAATGAAATGAAAATGGAAACAAAAATGTGGTGCCATGAGTGAATTTATGAATTCTTCTAATAAGGTTATTTTGCTCGAAATATTTGACATCACACTAAATCGAGAAATTACCGAATGGAACAGCGTGATGAATGAACTGCTCACCTTACCAACAGGTTCACAAATCTTTCTTATTTCAGTTCTCATCGATTTACATCAATTCATCATTCCTAGCACTACAGTTCTCTGTGTAATGAAAATTGAAATAAATCGATGCTCATAAAACAGACATTCAGAAATTTAAGTTCGTTTTCCATTTTCCAATATTTCTAAAATCCTTTCCAATAATTCATTGCTAAAAGGAAAGAAATGACAATTTGTGCAGGTTGTAGTGCGGCTCGCGACAGATCGTAGCAGTATATGTGTTTTAATGTAATGCATGAAAGTATAAGGAAAGATGATATTGAATGCTCTGTTGCCCCACAGATAGTAATAGTAGCATATAACTGATAACTTATCACTAATCAGTTCCACTGTTATATCAAAAACGTTAGCGTATACTAAATGTCCCTGTATTTTTGGCTCTGTTGAATTGGCGATGAACAGTTTTTAATACATTGTATTATAAATGTTATTAAGCTCAAATTTCTCGTAGCGTCTCTTTTAGCCAGAAATTATACATAAAGTCTCAGGAAAAGAAGGAGCTGAAGTATCACGAAAAATGATCTATAAGGCTGGGTCATAAAATTCATATAGAGATGATCAGTTGATCATCAATTGCATCATCAATCGGCCATTATTTAAAACATCAAATATTGAATGAAACAAAATCGATTTCATTATTTGAATAGTAAAGAAAAAAAATATTCCATGAATAAATTTTATTAGAAACAATAATGAACAACATTTAGAATTGTCTGAATCCATATTTTCAAAAAAAAAAAATAAATGAATAAACTTAAACTGTTATTCCTTAGAAGGTACGTAATACCTAAAGAGATAAAATGGATATTTTAGGAAAATTTTGTAATGATTACATAACGCTTTGAATGAGAGTTGTATTGGAGATTGATTTTAAATTTCATGCTAATTCAAATTAGAACAATTGAGAATATAATTTTTCAGAATTTCCTTTTAGAAAAAAAGTTTTAATTAAATATTTAATTTTTGAATTAGTAGTATTCTCGTTTTTTTGTCTTTGTCTTTTCTATATACAAAGTTATTTAAAAGTAATCAGATGTTTGTATTTTTGCAGGTTGATAATTGTATTTAGTTAAACTAAAAAAATTCATATTCATATTTTAATTTTTCATTAATTTAATTTTCACACAGAATAGTTCTTTATGCAGGTTATTACGATTATAGATAATAGCAAAATACGACTGACTCTTTCTTGAATGAAAAATTCTCACTTGAAGCGCTGTTGGAGAATGCATAAAAGTTTGAATTTCATCTGGAACAGATTACTACCAATGCAATTAGGACAACAAAACGTATCGTTTAAATGTAGCGCTCGGCTCATTGATTCAAGGTCATCTTCGGGTTTATCTCTCTCATACAGGTGGCATTTGTAATACAGAAACTTGAAAACATTCAGTTAGACACTTATATAGTGTATATATCACATGAATATGCATGCATGCATTTACGAAATGAATCATAAATTCAAAATAGATGGCATCATTTGCTGTTGAATTAAATTGAACTCTGCTATATTTCTCGATGATACTGCTCAGAGTGATTTTGGATAATTGACAGTGTTCGAAATTTATGTTAAATTCAATGACCTTTTGAGAAACTTTTTCTTCTTATTAAAAATCTCAAAAATTAAAAAATTAACAAAAAGTTTAAATTTGTGTTCAGAAAATTTAAATTGATACAAATTTAACTTCTTTTGTATTAGTTATAATATTACCTTTCGTTGCATACAGTTTATAATTTTGGTATTCATTGATGACAAGTGGGAAATTTTCAGCTGATGTATTGATTCCTAAGGAATACTGCTAACACTATTGTTCGTGTTATTAAAAATTTCAATGGCATCATTTGATTTGATTGAAACTTTTAATTTCATTTACAATTTAGGCACAATTTGGAATGAAATCCGAGTTATTTATTGTAACATGTGTAATTATTTTTAATGTCATATTAATTTGAGCAGCTCTCATTTTCTATACTAAATAAATTTTCATATAATCACAATTGCAGACCTGAACTTGACTTTCTACTTTTTTTTAACTTTATGACGTCCTTATATCTGATTGTCATAAACAAACAACATCACGAAGTTTTGGTAATTTGGTTTAAGTTTAAATAAGCTAGATTGGTCTACTATGTCAACATCGGAAAGACCACTTGTGCCCACGAAAAGAACCGCCATTCATCGACAACAGCCACTTTCCTCCGTTACAGAACTACCGGTAACAACAAATTCGAGCTCAAGTTCAGGTTAGTAATGTTTTATTTATTATTGCTACCCATCCTACTTTTGTTTACATCTTGAACATAAGTTAGTTACTTGAAATCCTTCGATGTACATCCATTTTGCAGGCTATTTCTTCAAAATTAGTAAACAAAAGTGATAACATTGAAATCATTATTAGAAGTACGTGAAATATTATTTATCTTTAAAGATTAGCATTCAGTAATTCATGCGTTCCTCATATATTTTAGATGTTATGTTATAATATACAAAATATATTTCGAACATATTTGTGAAGTTTAAAATATATCAAAATTTGGTACAAAAATTTTATTTATATTTAAGATTTTAAATATAATTTTGAAATCGATATATTCTATTTTATCGAGAAAGAAATCCTTTTTTTTGTTGAAATTGATATCCATTTGAACTTTCAGGGTCATTATCATCATCAACACATCCAACAACAATTCAAAAGCCTCTCAGCAATTTTATCGATGTTATCGTTGCTGCTTTTACCGTTAGTTTGAATACTTCGAAAATAACGTATGCTAAGCTTTCATTACAGATTGAGGCTTTAAATGTCATAGTTGTATAGCTAAGTCACCACATCGCTCCTCTATTTATCTTGAGCCTGAATATTTTAAAAATCGATTTTCCAAGTTATTAATATCCAGGAATTCAGCAATTTACTGGGAAAGAAATTTACTTTCAGCAATTTACGCAAGGTCGTTATTCTTTAAATAAATAGAGATTTGGAAAGAAATCAATTTAGATAAAAAAATAACCTTTTGCTATTAAAATTCTTACCTTTCGATTTTAATACTTTGATCTTTTGACCTTTTTGATCTTTGATTTTTAATTTTTCAATCTTTTGACTTATTGGATCATCAATATTTGAACTTTTGGCGGTCTGATCTTTTGATCATTAACTATTTACTTTTTTTATCTCCTCAATCTTTAACTTTAGATTCCGATTATTTAACTTTGGTTTTTTTGGATAATTGCGCGTAATTCATGTCAACATAATAAAAATATCATCAAAATCGGCGAAAAATCCGATCTTTCAATTTTTACCTTCAACTCAATGTGACCTCTAATTTTGTATTTTTGCTCTTTATTTTTTTATTCGAATTCAAAAAATCTTCTTTTTGGGTCCCAGCAAATTTATGATTCCGATTTATGATTTTAGAATAAAGTTAACACAGAATTTTTCTTAAATTCATCAACAATATAGTTAATTCCACAGCATCTGATAATTTTAATTTTCGTCAATCATACGTCATTCCACACCAAACCACGCTAGCGACTTCTGAAATTTCTATCGCTCGCGATTGGGTTGCCAATCGAAAGTACAAAATCTTTTTGCAAGTTTCATTGACATATTCCAACAAACTTCTATATAACGTTTTTTTATGATAAGGTGATGAATTCCAAAATTTTTTTCTGATAAGAAGACGAAAAAAGGAGAGGAAATATGAAACTGACGAAAAATGTACATGGCAAGCAAAAGATAAGAAATTGAATTGAAAAAAAAATCCTTTGACCTCGTTTATGGTTGATCAGTATACTGTGGGACAGGTCAATGCCAAAAGCAACGATTTTTAATGGAAAATGATGTAAATTGAAGTACAGGAAAAATTATCGCCTAATTTTTTTTCCGTTCTCTCTTTACGAAGTTTTTTTTTCTTTTTTCATCACCATTTCATGACACCAAAATGCTCTTCATTGCATTTGGTTACATGAGAAGAAGTAATGACCTTTATATCATCATTCATTTTCATTCTTCCACTCTTTTCTACCAATTTTAAACAAGCTAAAAATTGAGGATGCTAATTTTCTTATCAAATTTTCATTTTAGCTTACAACTATAACTGTAACTTTGTCATATAAAAAGTGCTGTTTCTTGACATTTGATAAGGTTTCCAACGTTTTTATCATTCAATCTTTTCTTAGCATTTTAAACATTAATCTTATAATGAGAAATTAATAATCGAACTTCGGAAATATTCAAAAGACTAACAAATCAGTTTTCAACTCTATAAATCCGACGATATGAATGAATAAACATTTTGGTAATTGTTAATTTGCGGTATGTTTTAAACTAGATATAAAAGTCCTACATTTAAATGCTTCCATTATTCTCCTCACTTTTGATCCGATGGATAACTTTAATTAAGAAAAATGTTTTCATTTATTTTATTGATTTATTCGATTTTTCAAGGTTAATTATTAATTTTGAATTTTATGATTCCGTTTCTGAATCATTTTCTTCTTGGTGATAATAAATCAAGAGGAAAGGAAATTGCTCATTTCAAAATTTCATGCAATACAGCTCTTTTTTCAAACTTTACCAAAAGCTATCAGGAGGATATGGCTGTAAGCTATTGAAGAATTAGTTATTGTAAGTTAATTTAGAAAATTTTTGAAAAAAGTTATCAAAAAAAGTTAAGTAAGCTTTAATTAAGATTTTTGAAATCTTTATGATTGGAAAAACCGACCAGCGAAGCCAGCATACACTTGAATGGAAGAATTTCGATGAAGAAAAGCAATATAATAATCCTGTAACTGTCAATTGCATTTCGGATTTTATGATAGTAAACTAAGAATTATTGTAATATCTTCCTTTACTTTTTTTTTTTTTTTGAAAAATTAAAAGGAGAAGTTAAAGAAAGAATCAACCAAATTAGAAATAATTGATCGTGATCAATTCCCGCGATTTCCAACTCAGCAATTATTTCTTACACTGACTTCTATGCATTTTAACGACACAAATAAATCATCATAAGTCTGAGAATTGGTGACATGGGAGTGTGTACAATTTTTTCCAGTTTCTTCATTTCTTCTTTCATTTCCATCTCATATGTGTGTGTGTGTGTGTGTGTGTGTGTGTGTGTGTGTGTGTGTGTGTGTGTGTGTGTGTCTTTGTAATTCCTATCCATGCAACTAACAGGTTGATGCTTTTATCTTTGTTTGAGATACTAAAATTTTAGTACGGATCTCAAATGTAATTTATGTCTGATATCCGGAAAAGTTCTATCCGACTTTTCGTTTTCTCCCATCCTTTCTTTTCAATTAAATTGTAATCGCTATTTTCATGATACCATCTATTCTATTCAATAAACTCTAAAATTGGAATTCCAATTAATTTTTCATTATTATTGAATGTGTGTAAGAATAATGGCACTTTTTATTTTGCGATTTTTCTAAATTTGTATATTGATTTTTTGATTTCTCTTGTCATTAAAATGCTAGCTTTAATCATTTGCAAAAATAATTTCGATATACACATCTTTTTTGCAAAATTTAACAAAATTTTCTAATTTTCCCTTCTTCTTTTTTGCCATTGCAATAATAAAGCGAGCAGTGGAAACAGTAACGCTGATAAACTGATTAGAAAGTTTCGTAATATGTGGAAACTTTGATGGAATATAAGGAATGCCAAGAAAATGAAACGACAAGAATAATAATGATATTAGCGACCACAAAAGCAATGTTATTAGAATATCAGTATTGCTGACAATGGAATATTGTGCAAAAATAATAAAATGCATTTGCTTTTAATTCTAATAATTAAGAAATCCGTGAAGTTGAATTTTCATTTTATTATTATTTGAACAATTATTTTGCACAAAATTGATCTTGGAAGCTAGATTTTCACTCGAATTTTTAGTATTATTGCAGCATTCAAAATTTACAAATTTGAAAGAAAAAATTTTTTCTTGATTTCATAACTGTTAATTTGTTTCAAAAATTTTTTTATTACGTTTTTAAAATTCTACGAAAAAGATTTCTCACGTAATTGATGAAGTGTTCTAAATAGATAAAGTACAGAAATTGCAATTAGCAAAATTTTCTCCTTCTCCATCTTTCTTTGACTTTTTTTTGTTGTTGTGACAGACTGTCCTGTTTTTATGAGCTGGTAGATAAACAAAGGTAATAATTGAAATTTAATCCTATCATCTCAAAAAAAGGTCGAAAATATTTCATATTTATGAAATTCTTCAAGAATTTTTTTTTGATATAAAATTTATTTTTTTACGGCGGCAATTTCATTATTATTTCCAATGTGAAATTTATTTTTATGCCACAAATATGACGGTACTACTGGTACGGGAAAAACTGGTCATTTGAAATCATTAAAATTTACCATATTTATTATAAATTCGTGTCATGAAAATGTTTTTCGCATTTCCATTCATTTTTGAAAATTTCCATTGCATTAAAATTCTTATAAATTTGCAACATTCATCTTCGATCAATTGCAAATATATATTTGAATGCTTCTTTTTTGAGTTTCATTTTGCTCTCTTCTAGTAATTTCATTAAATTTCACTATTTAGTAATATTTGATTTTTTTCGAAATGAACTTCCTCCACACTTTCCGTTAACTTATTCATCAGCCTTTTCTCTGTAATGAATATAAAATCCATTATCCATCAATTAATTTTTTGTCCTCCATTTCTCTCACCGTTCCTTTTATTTTCCACCATATATTCAGCTCATTTAATTTTTAGTAATATTAAATAGCATTTACCAATCAAATTGCTATCTATAATTGATTTTTGAATTATATTGCATAAGATACAATTGCTGCCATTTGCTTCCATTCATTTCAAGTTATAATTAGCACGATATATAATCCATAAAAGTACACCTTTCATTTTAATACCAATCATTTTTCAAGTAAGGAGAGAAGGAGAGAGAGAGAAAAAAAATTCGCTTTTCTCGACGTTCTTTTTTTCAGTAAATTTCGTTCACAACTTGAATTTTACAATTGTAAGAATTTCCATACACGTTATTGGTGCATGTTTCATCTATTTTATTTTTTGCAGAAAAAAATTATACATTTTAGAAAATATGAAAAAGATAACAATTTATTAGCTTAGACTGTTTGTATTCAAACTAAAAACATTATGGATGTGAAAATTGAAAAAAAAAAAACATTTCTCATATAGCATTTCATCGTTCCGTCCGTGATTCAGCCCACTTACATTTTATAATTATTGCCGAAACATTTTAATTTTCTAGGATTTTATTTTCAACAAGGCAGTTTGCAAAAAAAAAAATTCATCAAATTAATTATATTTTAGTTCGAACGCTTAGTAATAAAAAGTGGCAGTTACGAACTAATCATAGTAATGATAATAATGGCATTTGCATTACACACTGAAGAATTCCACTCCAAAAGATTTTCAATCCTTTCTAACTCAGTATTTATTTTAAGCTTCAAAATCGTACAGATTTTTTCTTTTGATTTCTTCATCTTTTGTTTTTTGAAAGAGAAGCAGAAAGATAAGCTCATAAAAATTTACCTTCTAATAAAACATCTAAGAAGCATTTTGCAAAACATATGTGAAATTTAAGACTGATGAATTCATTAAATTAAGCAATTTTCAGGCATTACTGTTAGCATGGCGCCTACTTCTTTCAAATGGAGAGGATAAAAAGGATGAGATACCGGTAGGCCTGAATTGGAAGGATGACGATTCATCAATAAAAGATATTGATGGTATAAACGGTGATGCAACTTCTGCTACCAAATCAATTGCTTCTACTGCCATGGAATCACCATCAGCTGAATCGCTTAAGGCATTGCTATCGACAGATAGCATTTCAGACGATCGACTTGGCCTCACTGCTACTACTGCACGTCAGCAACACTTCCTAATAGAATCTCCACAATGCTCGATTCAGCAAAATACTGAATATTTCCTACGTTATGGTAATAATGCGTATAATACGGAACGTTACCTTCTTGCTATACCGGAACTTGAAGTTAGTTTTTAGTTTTTGAGATTTAATTTTATTAAAGCAATGAAATTTTAGCTTATCATGAAATTGAATTTTAGAATGATATGGATGATTAAAGATGAAATTATATCAAATAATACATTCGATTGCATTAGAAGCAATTTTAGAGATATTATAGCACGCTTCACCCGCTATTACTACTAAAATGCATTTTTAGAAAGGGAAATATTATTCAATATATAATGGTCTTTGTACTCTCAAATTACGAAATATTTCCTCATTTTTTCTTCCTTATATTGTTTTTCGGTGATTTGGATTATTACGGATTGGTCGACTTTTCTTTTTCAATTTAGACATTTTTCTATTTGGCTGAAAACATTTAAATTAATTGCTGATTTTTTGAGTTTTTTTTGGCAAAAAAAAATTATTTTAGTTTATTTTTTCAATGACACACTTGTACTTTTTATTATTTGATGCAATGCGAAGTTTTGGATTTATCAGATTTGGACAATTGATATACATTTGGTTAAACAGAAATGAAATGTTTTTTTGCGATGACCTTTAAAATGAATTTTATAGAAAATTTGAATTAGATAGGGATTAAAGAACTTGCAGGGGTGCATTTAAATCTAAAAGTTATCCATGAAACGCTTGACTTTTGCTTCAAAACTTAATTTTTATTGTTGATTACTTTTGAGTCTCTGGGCCTATGATAAACGCATGATAAGGTAATGACTTGAAGTATTTGAATTGATTCAAATTTTCTATATTCAATTTTCAATATTTCTAGCTAGTTTTAGACAAATTAAAATTTCTTCTAAATAGTTACAATAATACTTGCAATTTACGCTTAGATGTTTAATTACAAATTTTAATATTCAATTACGAATATTCCCTATATTAGATTTGACAGATGAAATATTGAGGAAATATTGTGAAGCTTACCACTAATAAATATAATAGAAAATGCAGTATATGATGGGCATTTTACCTGAAAGAGAAAACATCAAACATCTGCCATCGTTGTCATTCAAAGGTCAACATTTAATGGTTAGTATTGTTGACAAAGAATGATAAATAGTAATACCCGGGAATAAACGGATATCTATTTAGCCACGTGTTGATCAAATTTCTCAAATGCCCTTATTTTATGTTGATTATCGCTATCATATCAGTAGTTAATTTGCTACTAAATTTTTTAAGTTTCAAATTCAATTTTTTTTTTTTGTTTTATACTGTCATTTATCTTCGATTAATTGGCGAAACTATTCCCAATCTTCCATTCACTAATAAAACTATTCTATTTTCTGAAATAAATGAAAGATCTCTTTTTCTTTTCCATCCTTTCAATCCTACCCATACAATTCCAATTTTTAGTATTCATTGCAATTGTTTGATTGCTATGATCGGAGTGACTTCAACTGTTTACATTGCACGAAATTGTAATGAAACTTTATGTATTTCGTAAACAATCATTTCTTACGAAAGTTTATGATTTCCTTATTTCATAACTGCTATGATAGAATTATACTATAGCATATAGCATAGCATAACATAATACAGTTAATAATAATAAGCTTAAAGACATTTATTGGCAAAATGCTGCAAGTCTTCATGTTGTAAGTAAAATCTCTTTTTCTTTTTTTCACTAATATAAGCTAATCAATTATGCTAAATTTATTCGGGATATTGAGAAATTCACTTGCAATTATCACTTTCCTACGTTAGTACAATGTTGAGGGAAATGAAAATTGATTTTTCCCCAGAACCCTTAAATTATAATTTATGAGCAAGAATACTTTTTTTCTTTTGGTGATGATATTTTGAAATTTAGAATTTTGAAAATGGATTGAATTGGGTATGCAATTTTAATAAACTATTAATTAAAATGGGCTGAATTTTTCAAATTTTCCTAAACCGGTAAAAATTATTGACTACAAATGAGAAAAATAGGATACCATAACTTTTTTTGTGACACCAACCAAAATTAAATCGCCCGCAAAAAACGATTTATTTTTAATTCGAAGACTCGACATTATACCTATCCGCAATGTCCTTGAATCCCACCGGTTCTTCTCTTTGCTAACCTCTCCTCTCCTCCTCTTTTCTTCATTCTTCTTTGCCATTTCAATTTCTCGATTTGCAGTTTTTAGATAAATAGAATATTTGCACGGATGATTCATCAATGGCTTTGAATACAATTTAAAAGGTAACCCAAATGAAAGCAAAAGTTGTTCCGATGATTGCTCTGTGCATTGAATTTGCTATCAAAATATCAATTTCCACAATTTTAATAGCGCAAAAATTTTGTTATGATTTATCGAATAGCTTTTTTAAGACTTTTGAAATTTTTCTTTAAATTTGGTAATATGCAGCTTTTTTTGACTTTTTTTTACAAATCTAACTATATTGAAAACTTGAATCTTAAATGAATTTATGACTATCGTGTCATGGGTCAACAGATTTCTTTAGTTTCATTATTTGATTTTCCACTGATTCTAGTTGAACAGTAAACAAAAAAATTCAAAAGCAGTTTTACAATTATTGCAACCCACTGTATTGTATGTCATGAGAGAGTATGGTGGGGTGATGTGAAGGTCGAGACATTTTCAGGAGAAAGGAGGAGATAGTGGACATCACTTCACTGATCACCTCGGTAACCTTGGTGACCTGTGATCTTTGTTTCTCTGTCTTTTTATTACATATAATTTGATATTTACAGGAAGAGAACGACGAATTGTGCGGTAGTCAGTGGAGTGTTTCATCGTCATCATCGCTACGTGCTCCAACTGCTATACTTAATACATCGTTTGGCGCAGGAACTGATATCCGATCAGTATCATCAAATTCTGATCAGCCTATTTCATTCAATACTACTGCTACTACTGATCATGCCCCTGATCTGATTAATTGCTACCAACCTTCAAATTCATCGTTGGTTAATCTCAACCAAAATCCTAATCCTAAATTCTGTTCAAATCAGGCCATTTTTGCTAATTCATCATCACATTCAACAATTTTACATCGGCCAACATCTAAGCCTGTGTTAACGGTACCACATCCTACAATATCACCACCACCACCACCATTTTCATCGCGAAAACCTTTGTTGCCACCAAAACTACCGCACTCAAAAGAATTTTGGAACGATACTTTTCCATCTTCACCACCACTATCATCAACAGATAAAAAAGTAGTCGCAACGACCACAGCTGGACATCTAACATTTGATATTCCAGGTGAATATATTTTCGTAGAAGATTGAGTTTTAATTTCATCACTCATTTTGTAAGAAACGGACAAAATTATATTTCTCATAAATCGTTCAAAGTCTTGCAGTTATTTATTATTTGCTTAATTTTATTTTTCAAATCAAAAAACTTTTTCTCTTTTCAACAACTGAAATGCACAGAAAAAATAAATATTTCTTACTATAGTCCATCAAATCATTTCTCTTTGAGATTTACCTGCAATCGATTCCGAAGATATCGACAATAACAGTCATATAAATCTCGAAATTTTGCATAATACGCCAACAAATACTTCCATCATCAACCATAATCTCAATAACAGGGCTGAAAAGTATCCCACAATGGTAAATTTAATTCATTATATATATTACAATTATTCATGTCTGTTTTATCTGTTCCTTTTTATAATTATAATTTTCCAACTGATTCATGTTAACTTAACATTTTCAGGAATAATGTGCAAACTGATCAAAGTTATCACTTCAGTAATTTTTCTATGATTATTTCTCTTTGTTGTCAACTCTCTCTGTTATCTGCTATTAACTAAAAAAGGAAAAAGAAGAAAAGACGAAAGTTTTCTTAATCTATATCACCGGAGAAATCATACGAATTAGACCAATTACGTTACAAATTTGTCTAATTAGTATGATTCTGGTTAATGTTGCAAAATGATTATTAGCAAAAATGAAGCATTATAGAGTAATATCAATCTTTACAAATTTTTTATTACAAAAATATATATATATATAAGCACTATTTGTAAGTGCAATGATGCTGTGTCTTGCGTTAGCATCCATGGGACGATGA